CATCTTCTTCAGACACACTGCAATCAATACATCAAAAAAACTGACACCACAGTTGGGGGTGTCCTGCTATTACAAGATCTTACCACAAAAGCATTCATCCAAAATGACAGATTAGTGCCTAAAGATTTTTATAAAAAGAAATGAGAATTATCTCCACACAGAAGTAAACACTCCAAAAAGCAACTGTACTACTACAAATTCAATAAGGAAGATTTTTTCCCCTAGCAATGTTAACATTTCCCTCCCCCCCTTTTTTTCTTTTTTGAAAAAAATAGGTCGATATGTGAAATGAGAACAAATTTTTAATTGGTGGACTTAATTAATTACAGGCTGTTTACACATAAAAGATGAATGCAAAGTATAAGAGTGGGTATTAAATTAGCATTACATGTATGCTACTTATGCAGTTTTAGAGGCAATTACAGATTTCTGTCATTTTGAACCAGTTATTTGCTCCACAAAGTTTACATTTTTTTGGACATGTGCCTGCAGAGCAGAGATAGTTTTTGGGAAAGTGATGCAGGCCACACAGGTGATATTAATATCACACAGCAGTTGCACTGGAAAGAAAACTGAATTTCTAGTAATCTCAAGACTTGTCTGTAAGGCAAGTAAAAGTGTTTCTTAAGGGTCCAGGACTCTACGTCTGCATTACAATCCCCCTCTAACTCTTGGCCATGTTGCTGCGTTCCACACGAGTGCTGGCAGAGTTGCTCCCAGATGAGTTATCACCCCTCTTTCCCATGTAACATCTCATGGATGGGTAGATGGGTTACATGTTATTGCAAGCAAGCAAACCAAAAGGAATACAAATCATGACTGAACAGGCAGCTGCTACACCAGGTCCTCAAAAGGAAAAGGCAGAAGAACCACATACCCAGCTGCACGAGTAATGGAGCAGTACGCACACTCAGAAGCTACCTTGTGGTTGAAAAGCCAAAACTTACTGGAGCAAGACAGAATGGAGATCTAGAACCTGCCTGACATAAAACACAAGGCAGCACTAGCATACCCTTTGAGAGAGGGCAACAGAATCTTGCCAACAACTATGCTGGCATGCAGCCACTTAAGAGATCGCAGCTGGAAGGCTCACCTTCAGATGAAGCAGCCACACTGTCGCACTGCACCTGCCCTTTGACCAGTAGCTACAAGTAGAGCAGGAGGCCCTCCCACCCCCAGGGAAGGAAGGGAGCCCTGGTGTCCAGAAGAAGTAGGCTCACCTCAAGGGCAGCATTTTCACAGCTAGTGGGTAACCTCATATTAAATACAGAGGCAGTCACCATAGAAAAAACTTTTGCAGTCACCTGACAGGTTCTGTGGTAAACAGAAACTTCCACTTCAGCAGAGCACAAAGGCACAAACCAAGGGTATAAGACCTGCCCCCTTTGAAGTGAAACTGTTTCTGTAATACTCAACAAGGAGAGAGAAACTAAGTCCTTCAGGGAAAGAACAATCAAATCACCAATATCCTCATTACGTAGGTCCCTTGGTGGGACACCAGGAGGGTGCGAAAGGAGTGCACTTCCTTCTACATAAATATCTACAGTGTTATAGAAAAGTAGAGAAAATATATCCATTTATAATACAACTTGAAATTGCATACAAAAATTATGAAGAAAAACCCTAGGGTATTCTAGCAGCTTTGTTTGGGTCTTGCAGGATAGCAGTCATCTAGGCTTTGAGATTCTTGGGAAAAGACAACTATTAAGTATCAAATTCAGTTCACAGGAAATGGGCGTATTATTCTTCCCATCTGCAGGCAAACACAGGTAAACATCACCCCATTGATTTCTATCCAATTCATAAATAAAATAAAATTCAATACTGTACTAGAAACTGCATGTTCTGAAAAATTCAAAAGCTCAAATATTAGAACAAATTTCAGGACACACAGCATGGTGTCCACAGCCACAGCAACCTACCTACTAAAGGAAACTTGCAAAAATAAGAACAAATTTTTGGATTCCAATGTATTTGCAAAACAGATTCACTTATTACTGGAAGACATTTTTTGAACTACAAGTAGCTGTGTATAGGGTACAAAGGACTTCTAATAATACAGCCTATGTCCATGATCTGGGCACACAGTTATGACATACAGATTAAAGCCAATGATATTAAGAGTAAATCTTGCCTCTATCAAGATTAAAAAAAATAATTCTCAAGGTTGTAAACAATGTTTACATACTAGACAGTAATAATTTCTTCAACTACTTCTCAATTTATTTTTGGAAATCACCGGAGTTGAATGATTAAGCCAACAGGAACAAAAAAATAACTCTTGCATCACATTTTGGTTTTGACTGCATCTTCTTTATGCTAGTCTGTGTCTTCATTTATTACTCATGCATTCAGAAGCAATACAATGAGTCAATAACCACTGGGCAGGACTGCAGAAATCTACAAGTTATTGAATATATGTATATATAAAATCACTGAATCAAACCAGAGCTTCAAAGGTTCCATATTTTTTTTTAGTTTTGATTGCTGCAAATAATTATTTAAACAAATTACCAAAAAAAAAAGTTCCAAAATAGTATCCCCTCTTACTTATCATTACAAACTATAAAAAGCACAGAAAAAATACACCAAAATAAATGTTCATTTCTACATAAAACTCTATTCACATATTTACAAATTGATATACACATCTAGCAATGAAACATACCCATAAAACATCAAGCAAACTTCCAAACTGCATTTACCATAGATTTGATGTTCAGCTTGTTGCCAGGGAAATTTACATTTTTAATTACAGTCAATAATTACTTTCACCTACACAGCTTCTTTATTTTTTTCCCTCCAATTCAAACAGAATTTCACCACTGCTTTACACATGCTTTTACGTATTTATTATTAAAATAAAGTGTAAAGAGCTAAACATTCAACATTAAGTATGAAAAATTAACCAACATCTATAGTTAATTAGCTTGTATAGACTGTAGAACTTACCAGAACAAACTAGCAATTTAAATCTTCTGAATTAATCTATTTTACTTTGTTGCAGTAACAACAAAATAAACATATACACATTGTACTCTTTATATCAGTGGGACTATAGGGAATCTTTGCCAGTAACACTTTAAAAAGAAGAATAGCAGTAATTACTTTTATACAGATTTTGAGCTACTAAAATTCAAGTGACTTTTGAACTATGGAACTATTTTCCTGTGGAAGAAGGCCAGCTATAATCATACCTTCTGTAGGCACAAAGGTTTAGTAAACTAAAGAAAATGAGGAATTTTGCAATTTTTAAGGCAGAAGAAAAAGCCTGGAAGAAAAAGCAAATTTGCCATCATTTTATTCTAAAAAGGCAGAAGATCATTTTTCTATCACAATCAGTCTGCACTTTAGCATGGCTAACACTGTACAGTCATTAAATAAACCTTATATTCAGAGCGCTCCACAGCTTTAGGGTTTACACATATGAACTGTACGTAAAGTCTGGGGAATTCTCAAACAGGCATTCATAACAATCAGCAAAAGACACTTTCATTCAATTTTTTTTTTCTCATGAGTTAATACTACACTGTGCTAGAGGGGGCAAAAAAAAAAATCTATTAAGATTCTATAAAACTAACTTTTAGTAGCTTACTGCATCTCAAATTGAATATATTCTGCACATTACTTTCCAAAAACTTTTCAGAAACAGAGGAAGGAATTCTGCAAGCACACCAAGACACCTATATTGAGGAGTCTAACACTTCTTACAGTCAATGAAGACCTGATAATGCCCTCAAAGGCACCGAGACTGTGATTCAGATCATAAATTAGGTCAACTAAATTGCTCTCCAAACTCCATTGACAGTACTGATTAGCTCTTCAAAGGACTGCAACAGCAGTTCTGAGTGCATGTTGACACTTAACCTAAGGCCCCTGAACCTAAGGACAGAAATTCCATCCTTAATTTCCGAATTGATGCTAAGCAAAGAACTGAACTACAGCTCAATGCCTGAAAACATTGTTTTGAAACAATTTTCAATCTAGTATGAGAAAACAAAAGGGGAGTAGGGGATTAATAAAAGCACCTCCTACCTGAAAAAGTACATTAAACAGCTCCAAAAAGTTTTAAAATAAAGGGAGTCATAGAAATTAAATTAATGCATTTTATACTTTAGAAGAATGAAAGCCTACCTTCTTTTAATTTCAAAGACTGAAGTAGCCTATCTCATTTTCCTGGAAAACCTAGAAAAAAAAGTGAAGCCCTAAAAAGGTACAGGGTATCAGAAATGCTAAAAAGGGTATGCCTCTCTGTGTTAATATCTACCCTACCTTTCATCCTCAAGAGAAAGAGCAACAACACATAATACATCCTCAGTGTCCATGTAAGGCTGTTAAAATTCCATACGCTCTCTCAGAATTATTCCAAAAGTATTTCTTTAAAGCCAGATCTCCTACATTTGTAACACACACACAGACTAGATTTTGAAGGAACTGGCAAACCAGCAATTTGAGTATGTTTTAACTTTAAAATTTCACCATTTCCAATTCTCCGTGAGAATTATGAAAAAGCTCAAGGACAGCTGTTTTCACTTACAACTAAATGCAATGAACAGTTCCTTTCTCTCCTCCTCCCCATCCCTCTGTCTTTTTGGTACAGCAAAAATATATGTAAAAACCCCTTTCCTTTTAGAAGGCCTCCTATTGTCATGAACTTATATTCCAGTTTTGCAATCAAATTCATATAATGAAACAGGTAAGACAAAAATAAATTTAATATAATATCCTAAAGCCCTGAAAACACAACATACAGCTCCATTTGCAGACTGCGATTCACTATATAGGTAACTGCAGATCACGTCCTGTGCTGTAGCTGCTCATATTTGCTTTGCTAAAGTAGAAGATGGATGTTTCGCCACTAAAAAGGATCCATGTAATATTGCAAAAAATTACCTGCCAGAGTTCAAAGGCTTTGCTTTTTTTGAAGAAAGTGAGTCAAACTTTTATTAACAGCAAAGCATATGCTTTCCTCCCGCAACGAGAATGAAGGGTTGTACTACCTTCATGCACGGTTATTCCACAGTTGTCACACTGGATTATTTCATCAGCATCTTCACTGTTATCTCCAAGACAAACGCAACAAATCAAAATATGGTCCATTTTCTGGGAACTCCAGTTTTGAGACTTCTCAAGGATCAATGAGTCCTAATATTGAAAAATGAAGATACATGGATTATACCAGGAACTTCAATTTTATTTAAAACAAACAAAAGATCTGTTATTTGAACAACAAACTAAAAAAAGATGGAAAATTATTTTCACAAGACTAAAAGCTTCTTTGTTGTCAAAACATTAAAAGATTTCATCCACAAATATAAAAACTGGGAGGAAGGATGGATACAATCTGATCTCAGTAAACCTACAGATCTGTTAAGATCCAAAGGCAAGAGAAGGATCTTATTTCCTCAGACAGAAACATGTATGTCTTTAAACCATTCATGTTCTACAAAAAGGAACAAACACACATCCCTAAGAAACCACTAAAAAAAAACCAAAACACCAAGGCCAAAGGTGACCTTCATATGTCCCAATATTCAGAAAAGTTGCTTCCTTTTGTTAAAGTCTGCATCTTCTGAGAAAAGTCACATGGATCTGAAAAATCTGAAAATAAACAGCTAACACAAGCCTGCCAAGTTTTCATTTCAGTAAAATGTAACGAATTATCAACTCAGTTCTATTTTGTTGTAATGCAAATTTATATGTCTCTATGCAAAACCACATGATTTATTAAAACTATAACAACTTATTTTCTTCTGATTATATACAGGAGTAAGGATTTGCAGAACAAGTACATTGGTCTGTTTTAGCAACCTTCAATGTGAACTACAGCACTTAACGTGGCTTTTAATAGGGAATTTCTCTAACGAAACACAGAGAGGTGTTTCACAAATCAAATAAAGCTGTATGTAAATTTTTTTATTCATAAACACCATCTAGGCTTCTTATTATTTTCCCTGTGAGATACAGCCACTTATCTTTTGCAAAATTTTACGGCTTCCATAGTTTTTATTTTATTAAAAAAATGGGGAGGGGGGGGAGAATCTTTCCTTGATTTTAATGCAAGATAAAGGGGTAAAATAATCTTACCACCTAAAGCTGGGCTCAAATAGTTTACCTCAAGTAACAGAGGTGGCTTGTTATGTTTTTGACCTAGGAAACATCAAACACATACCCCTAGCAGATAGGAAATGCTTCTTGGTCTCCCATCCATTTTCTCTAAACAAGGTAAAAAAACATGACCTATAAAAAAAGCCAAACTCACTCATCTAGAAGTAAAAATGAAAGATTATACAACCATTCACCCAATCATGCTTGCTTACAGGAAGGCTACTAATTGTGAAAAATACAAGATTCTCTGCTACAGAGTTCAGACTTACAGAGCATTTTTTGCCAATATCCTCCTTTTAGGACAAAGTTGCAAAGAAAGTAAGGAAAGTAAGAAACTTGCACATTTTTTTCAAACATACCGTGGCCCATCATTACTCAAAATACCCACATTTAGCTTACCATGCACATCACAGATAGGAAAATGTTAGTAGATACTCCCTGACTTCGGCAGACTAGTCATGCAAAGGCACAGGCTTCTCAGATGCATCTCGCAACTCTACAGAAACCAGCTTTTTCTGACAGGACCTTCAACCTAAACTGTTATTTGGTTTCACTAATACAAGTTTAAAAGAAATTTGCTATCTCTACTGTTATAGAAGCCCAAGGTCTTGTAACTAAAAAAAGAAGGAAAAAAAACACAAAACCAAATCCAAACTATTACTTTAAATGAAATAAACAGAATTGCACCGCAAAAGCAACACTGAAATAATGTTAGCTGTTTAGGCAGGGAGAACATATGCAAATATGAGCAAAAAACCAAAACAAAACAAAAAAAGAAACAAGTAATGATGGAAGGGCAACAGATTTAGATCTAATGTTAGGTCCCCATCCATTATGGTTTACTTTATGTGAAGACAGGCAACAAATCAAACAGAGCAGTCAAGTAACAATTTTCTAAGCATACATGGCAAGAGAGTGATCTGGAATGTACGCTGCTCTCCCCTGCTTAGTCCATGTATGCACCTGAAAGAGCCCATCCCAGAAGCTGAGCCCATGTCTAAAGCATGGGAACTTTTACGTAGAGGTGCTAACCGCTGCCAACTCCTGAACAAGCCCTGTTCCCTGCCCAAGAGAGATTTCAGCTGGATCACTATGTAATTCTTATTTCTGTGGTGTTAATGAAGGAAGTGAGCATTCAAAGCTATATGCCTATATACTTCTAACGTTAAAGGAATAAAAAATAAATAAATAACTAAATAACCACCTTACTGAGAACAGGAGAATCTCATAAAGTGTTAGCAATTATAAAAACAGAAAAGCACCATTTATCTACTAATGATGCTTGACCCTAGAAAAAAAAGTTTGTCTTCTCTGCTTAATACTGTAAAAAAGAACATAGGATTCCATTACACCACAGGTTAAAATACTGTATTGCATAACTCAAAATATTTTTCTAAAATATAGAAAAAAAAAAATCACACAGAAACAAAAAAACCAAACCCGCTCCCAACACTCCCCCCGACATCCACCCCCAACAAGTAAGGAAAGGAAAGGAAGAATGCATATTAAGGACACTACAGCATGTTCAGATTTAATTACCTGAATATTCTTTCATAAATTAATTATGCATTAAGACATCTGGTTTTCTAAGAACTCAGCTTCTGCAGTGTAGTGATAGATGTGTCTGCTAGACAGGATTTTTACTTTTTTTATTATTTTGAAATATTGTAGTAGCAAAGAGTATACTGTTATAATACAGTTGAGTATCCATCTAAAGACTACAGTCTATAATCACAGAATCATAGAATGTTATGAGTTGGAAGGAACTCACAAGGATCATCGAGTCCAACTCTTGAATCCAATCGACAGATACTCACTGTTGGAAGACTTCTTGTTAAAGATCTATTAATATACTTTGCTTTACATGCAGTAAAGATAAATTAGGAGTTACAAAATTATAATTTGAACTTCAGATTTTCAAATTATGATTTTCTCTTTTGACCAGTGTCCTAGAGGAAGAGAGAATCTGAGAGGCAAGAACAGAATCTGAGGTCCATGAACATTAAGAAGCTTTGCAAAAGATACATCAGAGACAGCTCTGGGTTTCTGAAACAGGCCTAATTTTCCAAGTCAATGGAAATTATGGACCCATTCAAGAATACATCCCTAAGAATGTAAACTTACATTTCCATTCTCATATGGGAAACAACTCTGAAAGAAAATTGCCCATCTTTATTTGAAGTTTTGATCATCAGTACTGGTAGAGCACTTTCAGCTCCTGAGCCAAGAGAATATGGATAACAACACTAAAATTACAGAGCTAGACAAAAGAAGATGCTTATACAAAAAGTAAAAAAAACCCTAGACTTATGCTTTTTTTTTTTCCTTAATCATCATTATTACTAGTAATTAAAACAGCCCAGCTCATTCACGATCATATAGATATAACACATAACAAAATATCTGAAATGGAGACAACTGATACTTCCAAGTACTCTGTTTAGTTCCCTATCATTTTGCACATTAAAAGAAAGATTAATTAGAACAGCAGAACTTTAAATAGTGTCATACCACTATCATTTATCAAATGTTGTGTTGACATTGCAATTATTTCCTAAAAATTGAATGTAGATCTTACAGCAACTCTTTTTACTTTGTTCAAAATTTTGCCATTGCAAGACATGAAGCCAACCATCCTGACAACCCAATATCTTAATTTTTCCACAGGCACAACCTTCAAGGCAACTGTAATTGTGCACAGGAAAAAAAAAAATTCACATTACTAAACACATATAATTTTCACATTCTGCAATCAGAAGATATTTCATATAATAATAATAGTTTCCAAATGCTTTTTAGTACTGTAAGAAACTACTTCATTTGTGAGCATTATAAGGAAACCCAACATAAATTATCATGATCACCCTATTTGATTTTAAACCTATTGTGCACATCTCTCTACTTAAAATACTTCTAACAGTGAACTTAGCATTCAGACTTTGATGTCACAAAGAAGGGCTAGGATAAAGAATAACCTATCATTTAGCTATTTTATTAATATGTCACAGATGCTTTTGACTTTTAGCACATTACAGATATGCAACATTTACGCTAAAACAGAACTAGAAGTCTCACCAATACATGTTGATTTGCCTACTGGACCTCCTATTTGCTTTAGAACTAATCTAAACCCCCTCCTAAAGCCAAGAGAAGCCTCTCTATTGACTTTAGTGGCATCAGATTGACCAAATGGTCCAAGCATGGTTATTTAATATGCAGTGTCTATTTAGCACAATTTTGCTGCTTCGCTTATTCCTGTAAACACAAATCCAGCCAATCAGTTTAACTTTTCAAATTAACAGAATAGCTACTGGCGAGTAGTTTCCATTTGTCAACAGATATATTATAGAAAGTTGGTTGCACTACCTCATTACTCTTGCTTTGTGAAAGAGCCAGGCTATCATTTGTCAATTCCTCATCATCTGCATTATTCCTGTTAAGAACTTTACTCCTCTTCTTCTTGGATCCTCCATCACTAGCTGTGCTGCTATTGTCTTCTTCATTACCTTCCTCATCATTGTCATCCTCATCACTTCCGCTCCCATCATCTTCATCATCCTCATTATCTCCATCACTCCCCTCTTTTCGCAGTGCATTTTTTCCTTTTTTTTTCTCAGCAGTAGGCCTCCAGTCATTGTCATCTTCACTATCATAGTCATCCATATCATTTAGTTCTTCCATCGACACAAAATCCAGCAAAGGGCGGTTCCTGCGCAAATTCCATTTTTTTGGTTCATTTGTTTGCTCATCAGCCACAGCATCAGGTTCAGCCGCTTTCTCCTTCTCTTTCTTCTTTTTTGGCTTTTCTTCTTCATCTTCTTGCTCTTTCTTTTCAGTTTTAATTACCTCTTTGTCTGCTGTTAGCACTTCTTCAGTGGAGCTTTTTGGTTGTTGCTCTCCCACTTTCTCTTCTGCCGGTTCCTCCTCCAAGATATTTTCTTCTGATTCAGTACAGGAACCTTCACCACTGTCCTTTGATGCATCTTCACTCCCATGACCACTTCCTTCAGAATCTGTTGAGCATATGAAAATTTAAAAAAAGTTCCGACACAAATGTACCCCCAAAAATAAAATCTGTTGAAGCAAGTTGTTAAACAAAAGAATGATGCATGTTCCTCCCTCATAAGGTATTCCACCTATTTTTTCAGCTGGTGTCCAAATACTGCTATTTCGAGTGGTATGTTGAGAATCTGTTAAACATGAGTGCATTTTAAGATGGCAGAAAAAAGATGGCAGAATTTATTAAATGAACGTTAAATGTTCCTTTGAACTGCAGCTCATATTAACAATAAGCAGTAGCACAGAATAATTTCCATATGAAGTCACATTTTAAAGAAAGAGCATTCCAGATTTTAATTTCTGGAAGCATTTTCTAAATCTTCAAAATAAAAATAACTATCCAATAAAAGAGGTTTAAAATTACAAAAGTTAAGAGTTTACATAACAACTACTAACAATAATACAGTTAATCCCACACCTCCATTTTTAGTACAGGTTTGTTTTTCTGGGTTTGGGGGCTCTTAATTTCCTATATTATTTCACTTATTAATCCCACATAAACTATACCTCATTCAGTGTTGCAGCTGCACAACAATGCATAAATTCTAACCTTATATCACTCATATGCTATTGTTCTGTGTGTAGTCACTATTTCCACTAATTAACACAGGCCAATCTATGCAATAAAAGAGAACAGAAGAGGATTTGTATGGGAAAAAAATATATTACAAAAATAAGGCATCTGTACTATATAGTACATGTAAAAAAAATACTGGAAAAGATGACAAGTGAACTCGTTAAATTTTATAAACATCATACACCTTGACTATCACTCATCTTTTACTCACCCACTACTTTTCATTTACAGTATTAGTTTTAATGAGAAAAACTCAGAAAATATTTTTTTAAATTAACAAGAAAATCTTAAGTTGTTTGATCCATTAGATCAATCAGACAATGGCTACAGTTTTCAGACTGTTCAGAGTCACACCGAGTCCTTGATGCACTGTCACACAGATGCAAAGAAGAAACATGTTGACGCTTGCAATTTAAAAAAAAAGTAAAAATCCTTAATTGCTTTACTTACCACACAGAAAACCCACCACTCTATCATCTTACACAGAGAATATCTGTGCACATCCATCTCTTTATAAAGCCAACTAAACAAACAGTGGGGCCACTGTGCTACACATTTCACATGGCATTTATTTCCACCCCACAGGACACTGTGACTAGCCAGTAACTCAGTTGTTACTTCGATATAATGGTCAGTTTTGTCTTTTTCTGTGTATAAACTGTATGTGGAAGTATTTGATGAGGAGATTACATAATTATCATTAACAACAAAAAAATCCATCAGTGCTACTACTACCGATCAGGATATTAATGTTATTAGCCTCCTTACAGGCTAATAGAAAGAAGAAGTTTCGTGCAAACCTTCTAGCCTTTAAAGAGCCAGGGGGATGAAAAAAAAAAAAAAAAAGAGAGAGAGAATGCAATAATACAAGTTATTGTACAGTCTGGAGAAAAGAGTAATTGTCATTTTCCTATACCGTAATGGTAGTAATGGAAGTACAATATAATTAACTGAAGTTTTCAAATAGTAAAACCTCTTCAGGCATGCCTAAGAAATACAAAAAAGTATTAAGTAATATACAATCTATAAAATTATTTTAAAATTACTATAGCTTTGTTTGGATACACATTCATAGGCCAGTTAGAATGGTTTCAGAGAAGGGCCATGAAAATGGACAGAGGGCTGAAACACTTCTATGAAGAAAGGCTGACAGAGTTGCGATTGTTCAGCCTGGAGAAAAGAAGGTTCTGGAGGGACCTTATTGCAGCCTTTCAATATATAAAGGAGGCTTATAAGAAAGAGACTTTTTACCAAGGCCTGTAGTGACCGAAAAAGGGGGACCATTTCTAAACTGAAAGGGGGTAGAGTTTAGACTGGACACAAGAAGAAACTTTTTATGATGAGGGTATTAAGACCCTGGAACAGGTTGCCCAGAGAAGTTGTGGATGCCTCATCGCTGGAAATGTTCTAAGTCAGGTTGCTTTGAGCAACCCAATCTAGTTCCTGTCCATGCCAGGAGGTTGGCCTAGATTATCTTTAAAGGTCACTTCCAACTCAAACCATTCTATGATATTTACGAGCTCTCACAAACACTTTATAAGTCACTCCTAAATCCAGACTCTCATACTAGACACTTATATTATAGGTTAAATGTCGTATGTCTATTTAAAAGCAAAATGTATCTTTTATATCTCATTGCACAGGTCCTGAGTGCCAATGTGCACAATTTGTCTCACTGTAAATAAGTCAGTATAGGGTTTTGACATGTCAAAATTAATTTAACTGGATTCTTAAGTTACCTTGTATTAGTTTCTTTTGTTTTACTCCCCTACTATAACTCCAGGACAGTAATTTGTTTAGATGCTTTAACTGCGCTGTTCCATTTCTAAATATGCTTAGAATTCTTGTGAATTAGGCTTCCACTTCATTTTTGCGGGGGATCTTACTCTGGGTATAGTTTGACCTTTAACAGTACTCTAAATTACCAACAGTGATTTTTGTACATCAATACTACAGCACTGAGGATACTCTCTAGCTGCTTTATGCCATGCAAACAATATAAAGCAGAAAACAAATAAACATTTGTTTCATTCATTTCTCTCTTTCAAATTCTCTTTGCCTTCTGCCTGCACATCATGCTTTGTACTCTCCTTTCTGCTGCATGTACACACCAGATACCTGGAATGCAGTAAGGGATATCCCTCTTCTGTCTGAATGTATCCACCGTGATAGATACTTTTCTAGAAAGAGCTATTCTGTGATAACAGCTATTTTTGCAGGTGTTCTGTCAGATGCACTTTCAGTTAGGAAGAAGCTGTAATACACAATTTTCTCCTTGAAAGAAATTCTTAAAGAATGGCTTTTTCAAATTGGCAACCATATCATGTCATTCCCCATGAGAGAAAAGTCAAGTTACTCTCAGTGAAAGATGGGGCCAGATACACTGTCACATAGTGAAGAACATAGAGTTTAACTGAAAACAAATATGAGAGATAACAGTTGTGAGAAAGGCACCATTTATTTCTGTACACCTTGTATCTTCAGCTCTACTGAGCACAACAGCGGGTGACAATCAAATCTAAAGAGGGTAGACAGGAATTCTCCAGGACAACACATTATGGTCCAGAATTAACATAAGAAAAAGTGTAATAAAGATAAACAAAAGGGACTACTAATCTTCACGTCAGCTGTGAAGTCTTGTATAATATGTACTATGCACAACACTTCAGGGGAGAGCTACAGCAGTTAAAAAAAATCCTCCCAGGGTTTTGCCAGACCATTTTACAAGCAACTTTAAACATGGTACCCTGTGATATTTTTATTATTTATTCAATATTTTTTAACCTTTTTCTTTTTTTACATTCTCAAAAAAAACATGTATACAAAGACTAAGTGCTACACTGCATAAGTACATGGCCACCTACTCACAGAAGACAGGTTGATTCTTCAATGCAGCTTAAAAAGCAGCTCTGTAAAAAGTAGCTTTACCACCTCTTTTTAAGTGAAGTCTGAAGGATAAGCTAGTTAAAGGAAATCACAGACTTGATTTTGGGCTTCCCTCTTCCACCAATAAAGCCTAACCAACTCCAGATAGCAGAAGAGAACCATCTGGCATCATTTTGGAAAGCTGTTTTTTTAGCACTTTGTTCTGTTTGGTTGAGTCTTGCACAGGTGCTCAAAGCTACATACAAAGAACACAATCCAGGATCCTGGAACACTGAAAAGGAGTGAAAAACCTGAAAAACTGGGCATAAAATACAGAAAATAACTACCATGTCTGAAATCATTCCTACTAAATAATACCGTTCAATAATAATCTATAGGTATCATGTGAGGCAT